CCCCAAATAAAAAAGTCATTCCCATACGCTGAGTCTACCCTAAGCATTCTGCCAGTCTCCAGTGTCATCTTACCTCCAAATGAGTGATGCAACATAATGCTTGAAAAATCAGGGAAACAGGACTTCACCAGCGAGGATGCCTGCATCACTTTGTACTCAGCGTCTGTTTTATATTTGACGGGGGTCACGCTGCCAGACTTACGATCCAGCCACGTGTTTCTCGGTACGAGGGAACATGGAATGGGGGTGACAAACGGTATAGGGGTTTGTTTTTTGGTGTCCCGAGGCTAAAAAATGTTTTAGGCATGCGTGCGTTTTCCAGAAACTCCAGCCCCCCAACCACGCAACGCAGATCTGCTTTGGCCTCTGGGAGCGAGCAGCCACGAGCGAGGGTCCCGCTGCCTCCCACGCGTGTCACGGCCCCCGTCCCCGTTACGTGTTTCCTGCATCCACCCTCTCGGTTTGGGGTCCTGGCCGTCCCGTTATCGGCCTTAAAGCGACTGCCTCCCTAGGATTACTTTGCAAATGTAATTAATTTTATCAAGGAGGCTCCAGAGCAGATGCTGAAGCAATTAGCACTTAATGGAAAACACGGGCCAGCAATAATAATATTTTAGTTCTAGTGGGATTCGCTAGGTTACTTTTTTTTTTTTTTGCAGTTCCGTTCCCTCTCTTTTTTTCGGCAGAATGGCTTGTACCCTTAGACCTCACAGGACTGCTGAATGTTTCTGGCGCCATAGTGACCCGCTGGGAGAATCAGCCACCGGGTGGCGACGGCGAGAAGCCCAGGGCTCCCCGTGGAGTTGCTCAATCAGATACAGGAGGGAGGGCAGATAATCCCGGCGCGCTTGCGCTCGCGGGCACCCGCGGTGCTTAACCTGGCACTGGTGGGTCTCGCGGGGGCCGGGCGCGGGTGCCGTGACTTACCCTGCTTGTTTTGGAGGTGCTTTAGTGCTGGTGAAAGGGGCAAGCTTGTGGCACCTGCGTGAAAAACAACTGCAATTAAAAGGGCATTACTGCCAGCGAGGATGCAGCGCGGCTCTGCTAGGTGCCTTTCGGTTCCGGTTTGTTCTTTCTGGGGCCCCAATCAAAAAGTCACTTTGGGGCCCCCCTTTAGTGTAATAACTGCTTGTGGCCAACAGGGGGCCAAACCTCGGGCACCCCATGCAAATGCATGGTTTTAGCAGTAAGAAAAACCCCCACTGCTGATGCCGTATTGGATCCGGGCCCGGCTCAGTCTGGTTATCCATTATCTAGTCCAGGCTGTCTAGGACTGTGCTAATGTCCAAACCCAGGCCTGGGGTACGTCGTATGTGACCCCAGCTGGTCCAAGCTGTTGCAGTCAAACGCTGCAATAAACGGCGTCAGCTGTCACTGAGGCTTTTTAGCGCAAACAATTTTATGGAAGGGGACTAACAGATTCCCCCCTTCCCCTCCCGCAGCAGTGGAGCGAAACCCGCTCGATCGCCCTCCGCTGTCAGCTGCGTCCGGTCGCTGCATTTTCACTGCGGTTTTTAACTGCAGTCGCCTTGCACGGCGGTGACAGATGGAGATCGGCGATCGCTAATGACACGCGCACTTGCAGTCTCCACCCTTATGTAACCGGGCCTGGGCCATCTGTAGCGACAGGCCTGTCCAGACGCTCGCTGCTTACCTGCTTTCCTCCAGATCTCCTCGGGCAGGTATCCAGAGGGCGGCCGGTGCAGGAAGTCCCGATGGATCTCTGCGGAGACAGGCAGAGAGACGCCATTGCCCTCGAAGATCCTTTAACGAGATACCGGATGGGCGTGGGGGGAGGGAGAAGGGGGAGGGGGGCATCGCTAATCGCGGGCTTACGCTCCACCATCATGGAGATTAAAGGGGGCTTTCGACTCGATTTGTGCGGGGTTAGCCAACGGAGCCGGTGTAGCGTGACGGCGGCGTGTGCATGCTGGCGTCGCAGGACGGCGCCGGAGGAGTACCTAGGGGCTGCGGCTTGCTGCTGTTAGGAGTGTTGGAGTTGTGAGGAGGTGGAGGAGAAAGGTGAGGGAGGCGCTGGGCGGAGCTCCCACCTTTTTTCATATCCTCTACGTCACTGTAGCGCCGGATCCAGTGGTTCATCTCCTCGCGGTCGGCCTCCTGGCAACGCCGCAGAACCGTGAGCGACCGGCGCGTCTTCTCCACCATGTCCATGATGCAGTTCAGCAGCTGTGGGGAGGCGGAGGGCGGGAGAGCGAGTCAGGGACCCAGGGGACGGCAGAGTGGCTCCATCCCTGTTCACCGTCAAGCGCTAACCGGGCTGACGCCGGCGTAGTGCAGGGGACGCGGCCATATGGATGATGGCTCACCGGATACAATCACAGGGGAAAGTCTTACGCGTTTCCTTCACTTACAGGAGGCTACAGACAGCCGAGAAAAAGGGTCCCATTGTCCACAGCCCTAATTCCAGCCCCACCCTCATTCCCTCCCCGGGAAGATGGGGACGCTGCCCAACGTGTCAGCCTTTCAAGAACACGGCCGCGTTTTCTGGGACGCCGGCCGACCCTTGTCTCGGCGTACGGGGGCGATGGCGGCTAGCCTGGGCGGTCCCATGGCAGCTGATGTTCACGGATGTCAGCGGCTCCATGCCACCCTCCATCCCGGACCTGCCCCTCATCACCCTCTGCCAACGCCGTCTTCCTCTGCCACCCTGCGGCATGCCCCTCAGCCTCCCTCCCTCCCTCTCTCTCTCCTTCCCTCTCATTTCCTCTCTACCTCTCTGTTGGGTCTATTTATTTTCAGTGGAGTGTTTCTAATTTGGCCGGCTCCCAGCAAGGCCGCTTCCCTCCATGACTGCAGCCCTTGTCTCAGCTGCTCGGCCCAGCTGGAACTCCACTCCGCTGGGGCCCCCGCTCCATCTGTGGCCCTTTTTTGGTCTGTGTGTATGTTTGTGTGTGTGTGTGTGTGTGTGTGTGTGTGTCTGTGCGCGTGCGAGAGAGAGAGAGAGAGAGAGCGCTCAGCACTTGGGGAAGGTAAAGGACTCGCACTGCTTGCTCTGGGCCCACCAGGCCGGGCCCCAGCCCTGAAAACGGGCCACAGGGGTTCACCTGCCTCCCCATTGGACCCCCCCCCAGCACCCCGGCAGCCGAAGCTCGGCGACACCTACATTGTCGAGGTGCTTCCACTCCTCCGCCCACTCCCGATCCGTCAGCCGGTGATCGATTACTTCTTCCTGGCGGGCCCCATGCACCGCTGCAAGGCAGAGATTCCCAGTGAAGCCCCCGCCAGCCACGGGCCCCCATCCCCACCCCCGCCACCCGCCGCATCCGTGTACCGGCTTCCCAGGGAGGGCCAGGCAACAACTGCAAATGTAAACCAAATGCGCCTGGGAAGCGGCTGATCGTGCACAGATGTGGCGGTTTGCGTGGCGTGGCGGCGTGTTTCGGGAACATAGCCGTCAGCTTTTCAGTTCCAGCCCCCATTCCCCGCTCACCCGTCTGCCGGTGCCGCTCGCGGGCCTCCCGGTGCTCGGTGTGCCGGTACGCGTCGCGGTAGTGATGTGCCAGGGCCATGTCCTCCAGCCGGTAGTGCTGCGGCCCGGGGGCCGTGGGGGGGGCCAGGCCGTTGGCCGTGGGGTGTGTCAGGCCGTTGGGGGGTGGGTGGCTGGTGAGGCTGCCGCTGGGGCTGTACCGCTGGCTCGGGCTGACCGTGCAGGGCCGCTTGGCTAGGTGCTCCGCGTGGAGGCCCTCTCTGTCCGCACCATTGTCTTTGGTCCTGGGGGGACCAACGAGGGGGGTTAGGATACACACACGGCAGGGACCCGAAGAGCGCAAGCGCGCCGGGATTATCTGCCCTCCCTCCTGTATCTGATTGAGCAAACCCAGAAGTTTTGCCTGCTGGACTGATGGGGTGTCATTCCACGTCACTGCAAACCCCATGCTGCCTCGTCCCTGACAATCACCACATGCACCCCCCCGCCCCCAAGGTCAAACAGGTGAGGGAAGGGGGGCTGAGAGTGGCAGCCACCTGAGCGGATGGTCCCCAGGGTGTCACTTGGGTGTGCCGGCGGGGAGGAGGTGAACGCCGCGGGGGCACCAATAGACCTGCCCCCTTGGCAGAAAAGTCAAATCAATAGCTGGACACACCTATTCAGGCCAGGAGCCTGTGTATGGGGGGTGTCCAGATTACAGGGGGAAGACCTAGCCCCCCCCCCCCCCCCCCCCCCCCCCCCCCCCCCCCCCCCCCCCCCCCCCCCCGCTGGCCTGCCCTCTGCAGATCTGGCCAAGCTGGGCTTTGGTGGGTAACCATCTGGACACATCCCTGACATATGGCTGGTTGAGGGGGGGGGGCTATGCAGAGAAAAGCATCCCAATTATACAAAGATTATTCTTTTTTTTCTGTTTTCATGTGTTTCAGAAGTGCCAGCAGGGGAAGGGGGGTCAGCGTGGACGGGGCTCTGGGGGCAAGGACAGGCTCGTGTGTGAGGGTGTGTGAAGATCCGCACCCATCCGTATTTTGCGAAGACGTCAACTATATATTTTTTAACTCCTTGAACGGAGGGGGTGGGTCCCTTTTTTCTCCTAGGGTGCAAATGCCATATAGCGTATTGTTTCACAGTATCTGTAATTACCTCTGTTCTTATGTGAACCTGAAGTAGATATCATATGTTAAATAATAAAATCCCTGGAAATGTATACAGTGTAATACTTGTCGGGATGTGCAAAGGGCAATAAAGTGTTTGACAGGAATAGAGGTGCTGAAGCGAACGCCGGACTAATGCAGGTTAATGACTCCTGTGTGCCATGGGCGGGGTCTACCTGTCGGGGGTCTTCCTCTTGCCGTGCTCGTTGATCTCCAGCAGGATCTCGGAGGAGTCCAAGGGTGAGCTGGCGTTGGCGTCCAGCAGTAGCTGCTCGTGCTGGGCCAGGTACTGGGCCGGCGTCTGCTTGGCCATGCGGGCACAGTGCAACAGCTCCCTCTGCAGGAGGGGCAGGTTGGCCTGGGAGGGCAAGGAGAGCATGGAGGAAGGGGAGAGAGGGAGAGGGCAAGGAGGGAGGGAGAATAGCAGGTAAAGATGGAGGGAGGAGAGGAAGAATATGGAAACAGGATCAAACAAAGGAGGGAGAAGAGAGCGAAAGAGAGAAAGGAGTCAGGGGGAATGGTAGGAAAGGGAAGGAGAGGGAGAGAGGAGGAAAGAAAGGAGAGTGGGGGGGGCAGATGGAGGGAAACACAGAGTGAGACGACACAGACGCAGGATCCCACCCCTGTCTGCATTCCTCCCTGCCTCCATCGGCAGGGGGGGGCCCCCCAGCGCTCTGACGAGAGACAGCAGCCGAATGCGGGTGCCGGCTGGCCGCTCATTAGCAGAGGGCTGGGGCTCAGCATTCTGAGCCGGCCACCAGGGCCAGATCCAGCTCAGCAGGCTACTTCCCCTGACGGGCCGGGTGGCTGCACCTTAACGAGGACCCGCCCACTTCACGGTGCCTTCTCATTGGCCGTTTATGTGCCCATGAGTCGCAACCAATAAAGAGCGGGCACTCATACACCCTGGACTGGATGCCAGTCCTTCACTGGGCACACACCCTGGGAGGACTCCCACGTGACAAGGGGAGAACATGCAACACCCCCCCCCAAAAAACACACACACACAGAGCTGGGGATATGAATTGAACCCCCGAACCTGGAGGCGTGGTACCGCAGTCATTAGGGGGAGGGACAAGGAACCGTGGCACAGATCCCGTAGGTCAGGATTTGGCCCCTTAACCGTGACACCTCCCGCACAGGTGGACGACTGGCCGCACAGAATTCTGGGTGATTCCCCAAATGAGACCCTCCACCATGACAGGTCATGGACTCTTACCTTCAGAAAGGGAATGACGAAGGGCCTCAGCGGAAAGTTGGTGGCTTCCTGGAGTTTCCCGTGGAATTCCTCGATGGTCAGGGTGGAATTCTGCCCCAGAGAAAGAGCACAGGGTGATGAAAGGAGGGCAGAAGATGGATCGTGCCGAGATCCGTGGCGGAGATGAGAGAGGGATGCCGATGACAAAACATCGGCATCGCGGAGGGAGACGTGGGACTCACCACCAGGCCCAGCACCAGGCTGCGGACGCGCTCGCCGATCTCCGGCGAGATGTCATTGCCGAACTGCTGCAGCGTGGTGAGGAAGCGCTTCAGCTTGCAGAGCTGTCGGGCGCCGCAGGCGGGGGGCAGCTGCTGGGTGGACAGCGAGGCCGTGGATGACATGGCCGGCCCGTTGCTGAAGCCGTTGGGGGTGGAGGGTGCCCCGTTGAGGGCTGTGGGCGAGTGGCCGCTCCCGTTCAGCACTTTGGGTTGGGGGGACAGAGGCTAGGGTCAGTTTCTTTTAGGAAAGATCCATGGCCCACCCAAAAGCCGGGGGGGACGTGGCCCGGACTCCCGCCTCCGTTGGGGTGCATCCCCAGCCATTTTTCACCCCCTTCCAGCCAGAAATGCCCACCAGACTGCCCCCTTCCCCCCGTATCTCACTCACTGAAACACAACTATAAGAGGAACTTGTTAAAGAGCTGCCTGAAATAGCCCAGGGGGGGCTGTGTAACTTTTACTCCAATAGCAGGTGTGTTGCTAAATCAGACCCCGCACATGTCCACCAGCTGAAAGTAGATTCGCAGCTTTCGGGTTCCGAAGCCCCCCCCAACCCACACTCCACACTCCTACCCCCGTCCTCATTTCCCAGTTCATCCTAATACCCCCCCCCCCTCAGTGTCCCGAATGAGCTTCTTCTCAAATCTGATTCTGTCCTGCGTTACCACAATGAGGCACCGTCCTGAAACCCTTGAATGTGTGTAACTTGCTCTTAACATCACATAAGTACTTTGCAGAACAAGCCTCTTAAACGGACACCATCGCTCAGCTGCAGCAGATCCTGAGGGTGGGATCGGTGTGTATCTTCGTCCTCGTGAGTTTGCGTGAGAGTCTGCGCGAGTCTTACACACTCCCTGTCTGCGCGAGTCTTACACGCTCCCTGTCTGCGCGAGTCTTACACGCTCCCTGTCTGCGCGAGTCTTACACGCTCCCTGTCTGCGCGAGTCTTACACGCTCTCTGTCTGCGCGAGTCTTACACGCACGCTGGGGGGGTGGGGACCATGTGACGGGCACTTGCATTCTGGTTATGGAGCGGGGAGCGGTCCGCACTGATGGGCAGCAACGCAACAGGTGAAACAACACGGCTTCTCGTGACTATATAGGGAAGAAACAGGTCCCAGGGCCTACAGCAGCGTGCAAGTGGCCCCTGTGGGTACACCCCCCCCCCCTCGCCGGACGACTCCAGGGTTGGAGAGGGTGTCACACCTGGGCCCACGAACGCACGCGATCACCAGGAGCTCCCAAGCTGTTTACTTGAGACCAAATATATTAATGCACCTTATTCACAAGGAACTTTAACACTAAAAATGGCCTAGCGGGCTTCTGTACGTGCACATCAAGTTGGGGGGGTGGGGGGAGACAGTCCAGACATGCGTCTGCACACCACTGCGCCGGGAACGACTAGAATGATCCGGCACACCTACCCAGGGCGGAGGAGATGCTCTAATGAGACCAGAAAAGACAACAAAGCGAGCCGCCTAACATATGGAGGGGAGGGTGGGAACTTCATGCATAGAACATAAGGACAATGAGACAAGTTACCACGGTAAACATGTCCATGGTGACACCTTGCCTTTGTCTGTCCGCTCTTTAAAAATTCGAGACGCACGCGATCCATCTCGGCACAAAGATGACCGCCGCCCTCGCCAGACGGCACGGTAGCGAGGACTTACTCGTGGTGGGCGTGAATGACGCGTTGCGATTGGCCGCCTGGCTGACCGCGGGAGGGGGCGGTGGCATGGTGGGTGGGGTCAATCTGGGCTGGGTTTTGACATCGGCGGGTGAATCTGGCATCGTTCCAACCTTCTGTTCCGCGCTACCTGCGGAAAGGTGCGACGGGGTGAGATCACGCAAGGGACATACAAGGTCATTTCGGGCGCCGCCGCCCGGGCTCGGCGGGGGCCTGGATGGCGAGGCCACCCCCGTGGCACTGCCAACAGGCCGACCTGCTTGCGTGGTTTGGGCCGGAGTTGGATCCTGCAGCATGGTAAGACCGGCAGCCTGCCTTTTCGGACAGTCAGAAAAGTCATACCGCATTTAGGGGAACAACCTTGCCGGTGTCCCAGCCATGACTGGGGTGCCCTACATGTGGAATATGGGGCACTGGCAGCCTCGGGGGGGAGGGGGGGGTGATAGACAGAGGACATGAGGCTGAAGGTAAACGCACATACCCTCAGCGCTCTTGGAAAGATCCAGCAACACCTGCTGCCTCGGCCGGCAGCTGCGGATAGACCCCCCCCCCACTACTACCACCCCTGCCTTTCCTCAGCGGCGTCTGTCACCCTTCTGACCCCCCCCCCCTCCCTCGCTGTCCCTTCCACTCCCTTCTGCAGACAGCCGCGTGACGGTCAGTGACATATGCAGTCCTTGTTGACACTGTCCATCAAGGCCATGGGTACATGTGCTGCCCCCCCCCCCCAAAACCCCAGGACCAAACAAGGCCAGCTCACCACCACCCACCCCCCCCACTTTGGTGCACGGCCCCCTCAGCGGTACAGAGGGACACGCTTCAGAGTCACCCCCGTGACACATCATTTTGAATCTAAGAGCAAAAACGTTTTAAAGTCCCACAGTTCAGGTCACTTCACAAGACACAGCCTGATTCATGCTGAAGTCGGTCAGGTGACACATCTCCCTCCTCACACTCCTCTCCCTCCTCACACTCCTAAGGGGCAGCTTTGTACCCGGGATGCGTGACTGTGGCGTTTGCTTAGCGCCTTAAACGGTCCACCCTCGCTCACTGTGGTGACTGAGTCAGACAAGGGCAACCATAGCGGAGAGGGAGCGGGAGGATGGGGCACCTCCAGCCTGCGGTGGGGGGGCACGGGGGCAGACGGCCGTGGCTTTCGCGCAACCGCTGTCCTGCCTCAGCAGCCCCTGCAGGGGGCGACTGTAAACCTGCGGGGTAGAGAATTAACTGCCTCCGTGCTGAAAACAACTTCTGAGGGCAGGCCGCCTCGCACACACACATGCACGTCTTGCGGGGAGAGGCCTGCTCACTGCCGTCGCTGTGAGCCAGGTACGAAAATAACTGCCGGTGCAGGGTCTCGGCCAGAAGCAGCAGCAGGGCTTGTAATTAGTCCCGGATCCAGAGGGATGGCAGTCGCTGGGCAGGGAGGGGCACCGCCAGCAGGGAGTTACAGAGAGGTCACAAGAGCGTCCTGGACAAGGAGCTTCTAGCCGGGGCTCGGTCATGTGACCACTCCACTGGCCTGTGGGCCGCCCACCATATGTCTGAGAACGCGCTGCCAAGCCGTTACCGCTCCGTGCCGCGCGGCCGCGTCTGCTGTGCGCACGGCCGCCTTTAAAAGAAAAGAAACAGGTTTGCCACAGCAATCCGGAACATATCAAACGGGCTGTTTATCACGGCAAATAAATCCCTTTGGGTAAATTATCACTCCAGCCCACTAAAAAAGGTGTTTATTGCACACTTGCATATTTTGGAACAACTGTAAGAATCTGGCGAACAATAAATTAATCATTATCATTGGATGAGCATCCTTCTAGTTCAATGGGGGGGGGGGGTACACAATGTTCTGTCCTCCAATGGGGGCATTAGGTCTTTGAGGAATCCTCCAGGTTGAGAAAAAGCATCCCTCTTGGGTGCTAAATGTGAATATGGAGGCCAAATGTCTGATGTTCCAGGCCAGATGTTTGATGCTACAGGCCAGATACTTGATGTTACGGGGCAGATGTTTGGTGTTACAGGCGTGGCTCTTGATGAGACAGGCGAGGGCTTGATGTTACAGGTTAGATACTAGATGTTACTGGTCAAGAGCTTAACATTGTTATAGTTAATGCGCTTCATGTTACAGGGCGGATGGTTCATGTTACAGGTCAGTTGTTTGAAGTTACAAGCTAGATGCTACATATTACAGGCCAAGGACTTAATGTTACAGGTTAGAAACTAGATGTTACTGGCTAGACTTTAGATGTTACGTGTATGGTCAACAGATTTGTTGTCAGATAAAAAGACCTTCAGCACCAGAGCGTCACTATACTGTATGTTCAGATTCACCTGTAGTCTTCAAGAGGAGGAACTCACACTAGTAATAATGATAACATATCATTTTAACACCGGTGGTAATACACCAGTATCAAAAACCTAACATTCCTAGAATATACTATGGTTATATACCCTACATGACAAACTGGGGTTAATACACCAGTGTTATACACCTGATATAACGTCAGTGGCAATATACCAGTATTATACACCTGATATACCACTGTTATATTCTTGATATGATGTATAAGTGTTAATATACCTGAGATAACGCAGTATTTGTAATATACCAGTATTATATACCTGATGTAATTTATTAATGGTAATATATCAGTGTTACACACTTGACATAATGTATCAATGGTAATATACCAGTGTTATACCACTGACATGATGTGTCAGTGTTAATACACCAGCGTTATACACCTGATATCATGTATCAATGGTAATATACCAGTTTTATATACCTAGTATAACACTGATATAAACCACAGTGTGACACTGGTAATATAATGAACCCTGTATTGGTGGAACTGATGAGCTAGTAGCTGCAGACCTGCAGATGACGGGTAGATGACAGAGCATCGGCGCTGCCGCACCACAGCCTGCTCCATTTACACGGCCACCGAACGAGGACATGGGCTCACACTGTGACGCAGGAGTATATACCTCAGGAATGTCAGAGGACTTTGGTGGGAAGGGGATGGGGGCAGGATCTGGGCCGGGACAACGGAGGGGATTACGGACAGCTGTTGGATCGCGCTGGGCTGAGGGATGGGGGCTCAACACCCAGCTCTGATACACTGCTGTGTCTGCCACAGTCCCCTGCCATCTGGGCCCATCTGTGCAGCCGGCAGGCTCCCAGAACAAGGAGGCCGATGGGGGGCGGGGTGGCACCATGAGGTGCGAACCAGCAGGATGCACTTTCCCACGGACCTCACTCTCTCCGAGGCTGGACCCCCACCTAAAAGATGTATTTATGAAGCTACCACGTCCGGCCCACACCTGAACCGTCAGGGCCGCACGCATGCCAGGGCCTGGCCAGAGATGGATGTGACCCTGTCGGTCCAATCTGTTTCATGTACCACTGCACCTCATGTACTGACAGGATGCTGAGCCTTGCTGTGTTTGCCGGTGCCTGTTTGTTCTTCAGGAGGATGGGGGGGGTTAAATCCCTCTTCACATGGTCGCTCTGCACGCACCAGGCAGGGTTCAGGCAGAAACAAGACCCCCGCCCCAGGAGACCCCTGTCCCTCCCAGACATTCCCCATTCGTTGTCGCCTGCGATCCCGCCTCCCTCCCTTCGCTTAATCCCGCACCGGACTCCAGGAATGCAGTTGTTTCCAGGGTCTCCCAGCTGTTCTGGCTCCCTGCCCAGTCTGCCTGCTCACATCTGCTGCCCATCAGCCGCACAAACACGGGCCTCACATCAAAACACCGGGATTAAAGCCGTGATCCTTCCCACCCCCACGTCCCACTCACACCCCTCGTCTCCAACCTATTCCTGAACCCGCAGCACGGCACAGGTTACGACCCGACCCGGCCGACCTCTGTCCCCTGACCTGCCCCGCCCACTCCCCCCC